GGGTAATTGCAAAGACTCCCTTTTGTGTTTCGCACACGGGAGTCAAAAATCAATATTTTCAATGCAAGTGCTACTGCCACCTTCTCTGAAACCACTGATACTTACTGAATCTCTCACAGCAATGAATGCGTGACAAAGCCACCTTCTTGTTGTACCATCTCTACAAATATAAGAGAATGCCCTCTCATGGCGCCGATCAGGTGCACAGAAAGAAACTTTTTCTATCGTCTGGTCCACTATCAATCCCTAAAATATATAGAAATACAGATTGATTTATTTGCCATGGTCCTCTAAAGATTCAATCAATCATCAGAGTACAAGCAAAATACACAGAAATTCTGTTATATTAAATATTTTAATTTATGCATAATTTTTCCAACATTTCAATTTTTTTAGTGTCTAAATTACAGTTCAAATTTAGGCTTTTCGTAGTCATAGAAGCCTAACTCAAGAGTACAATGGGCAAAATCTGCTATTTTCATATAAAGTGTTTAAATGCTCAGTTTATCATTAAACAAGCAGCCTCTCGGCTGAGATAGCTCCGCTGTTAGTAATGCACTTTTCAATTAAAAAACAGAAGATATCATTAGAAAATATGCATAGTATCAATGCAATGGGACTTGCTGTTTTCAACAAAAATTCAAAAATATCATTTTTCACCATAAATGATTGTGGTTTTTAACAAGAAGAAAATATCACTTTTTACCAAAAATGACAAAAATATTCACTAAAATTAGAAAATTAAAGATATCGTCATGAAATGAACAAATTTGAGAATGGTCCACATGTAGTACCTATATATGTAATATCAAAGCAATTGGACTTACGGTTTTTAACAAGAAGTCGAAAATAACACTTTTTACCAAAATTAGAGAATTAAAGATATCATTACAAAATGAACAAATCTGAGAGAGGTCCACATGTAGTACACCTATATATGTAATATCAAAGCAATTGTTCTTGCGGTTTTTAACAAGAAGTTGAAAATATCACTTTTTATACCAAAAATGACAAAATATTCACCAAAATTAGAGAATTGAAGATATGATCATGAAATGAAACAAATCTGAGAGAGGTCTACCCAAGGTACATATACACCATGTATCAAAGCATTCAGGCTTGTAGTTTTCAAGAAGAAGTCGAATAAGTAAAACACGGAAGACAACGAACAATCACTCATATGATAAGCTCCGCTCGACAAAGTCGACAGCGGAGCTAAAAGATTCATGATTAAAAAAAACAACATTGTTTTCCCACCAAAATTAATGCCAAAAGATCACACTGAAACATTGGTAAATTTCCTCCATGTATGCTTTGTTTGTCATTTGGTGAGATCACTGAACCCTCATTAACATATTTAAATGAGCTACGGTAAGTTGTACATGTTCGTTGATAATCAGCATGATCTATCAGGTTAAATAACACAGTTTCACATTAATTTGGTATTGTTTTTTTTTTACTCACATTTCTCAACAGACCAATGCATATCACGTTAAAATCACAGAGTACCGTATGTTTTGTTATCATATGGAAATACATGTACCAAATTTTCAATGCCTATTTCAGGTCTATCACTCTTGTCTGAGTCTAAATTAGAATGGCACTAAATTAATGTGCCATTATAAAAAATAGTAGCTTAAGTATCAACCAGCACCCGCTAAAAAATCTTCATGAAAAAAAGAAAACATACATGTATTTGTGCATATACAATGTAGCTAAATAAAACACACACTGATAATTCTGGGACAGTATATTTCAAACAAAGTATTAATATACAGAAACCAGAGTTCTAATAAATTAGAGACTAATTCTACACTTCATTTATTGTATAAACTGTAATAGACGTCAGTCATAACATATTAGACACAAGGATTAAATTCATATGAACTTGATGACCTTTCAGATGTTCAGGATGGGTGCTTTACATCAATTGATGTCAGAATTCATTAAGATCTAGTCAGTGCTCTCATCATTGTGATTTCACTGTTTATTATAATGCAGACCCTGATATTGCAACGAATTTGGGTCAACTACTACTTTATTGCTAGTATGAAACAAGAGAACGATGAAGGCACAGGTCAGTGGCACTTGTTTAGATACAGGTGAAGTCAGAACTTGTATGGAACAAAATAGGGATGTAACATCTAATTTGGTTAAAAGTCACAGCAAAGTTTTTAATAGTGAAATGTGAATCACTTCATACAAGGTCTTCTCGCTGTGTTTGCTAGGGGGTCAATATGAAACGCATGATCCACTTCTAGTTGTGACTGCTAGGGGTCAATATGAAGTGCATAATCCATTTCTAGTTGTGTCTGCTAGGGGGTCAATATCACCATATGACCAGACATTGAACTGTGAACACACCATATGACCTGGCATTGAACTGTGAACACACCATATGACCAGACATTGAACTGTGAACACGCCATATGACCTGACATTGAACTGTGAACACACCATAAGATCTGATATTGAACTGTGAACACACCATATGACATGACATTGAACTGTGAACACACCATATGACCTGACATTGAACTGTGAACACACCATATGACCTGACATTGAACTGTGAACACACCATATGACCTGACATTGAACTGTGAACACACCATATGACCTGACATTGAACTGTGAACACACCATATGACCTGACATTGAACTGTGAACACACCATAAGACCTGATATTGAACTGTGAACACACCATATGACATGACATTGAACTGTGAACACACCATATGACCTGACATTGAACTGTGAACACACCATATGACCTGGCATTGAACTGTGGACACACCATATGACCTGGCATTGAACTGTGAACACACCATATGACCTGACATTGAACTGTGAACACACCATATGACCTGGCATTGAACTGTGAACACACCATATGATCTGGCATTGAACTGTGAACACTCCATATGACCTGGCATTGAACTGCGAACACACCATATGACCTGATATTGAACTGCGAACACACCATATGACCTGACATTGAACTGTGAACACACCATATGACCAAACAGTTAACTGTGAACACACCATATGACCTGGCATTGAACTGTGAACACACCATATGACCTGGCATTGAACTGCGAACACACCATATGACCTGATATTGAACTGCGAACACACCATATGACCTGATATTGAACTGTGAACACACCATATGATCTGACATTGAACTGTGAACACATCATATGACCTGACATTGAACTGTGAACACACCATATGACCAGACAGTTAACTGTGAACACACCATATGACCTGATATTGAACTGTGAACATGCCATTCATACATAAGGGATTATTGCTATTGATGAAATTCAAGCTAATGCACAGTTCCCAAATAATCTCATTCCTCTAGGGGGTTAGCATCAATTGATTGAAAGAAAACATTAGTGATTATCTGATTTCACCTTAAAACATCCAATTTCAGAATTAATCCAGCCAGTAGACAGATTCAATTCGCGATTAAATTGTGGGGAAAATTGAGATGAAAGTGATAATTGATATACGCCAACACAATGTGAAATCATTAATTAATGAGTTCAGTAATAAAATACTTTAAATTGTTGATCATAAAACAGAACAAATTAAAATATGCAGACTATTTTAGAATGCTTGGATTCAGAGTCTCTCCTCCTAATGACACAGAAATGAGGTCACTCAACTAGATCAGATAAAGCAAGTTTCACACAATGGTGGTGAAATCAACACTTTGTCTAAAATTTGTTATTATAAAAAACATTTTCATACAGCATATACTTCTATTGGTAATGGCAGAAACTACCCTAGTTTACAACAAAGCAAAGTCTGTATATTTCAATAACTTATTACAAGAATATGGCGCCTTCCAAGGCGACCACTAAAATAATAATAAAAACATACTTTTGTCAAAATCTAGATATGTTAATCAATATAATAAAGATAATTTATTTCTATTTCTAGTCATGTGATATAAAATGTTATTTCCTTTCTCTTGGTATACACTCATTTAACCCTTGACCTTGCCCATAACTATTCTAGACATATCATCTAACATGATGTTGCCTTGACTTTTGACCATCACCATGAAAGGGTTATATATTGGACAGCAGCGCTGAACCCAAAAAACAACATGTTTGTTGCTACCTCATGACTATAGAATTATGTACATTTAACCATTAGATTGGAAACTGAAATTAAACACGCTGTACAGCAATTTGGATACACAAACCTTTTTTAAAATTATAAACTTGAGGGGGAAAAATTAGGCCTTACAAAAAAATTGGCGAAATTGTTTTCCAAAATCGGGCAGTGAGGCATTTTTTGTCGTTGCTAAAAATATTAGACTGGGCACACATTTTGCATGTTTCATCAATTCATCAACAGACAGATTGAAAGGCTTCTAGTTCAAAACTAATGGAAGTAGGGACAAATAATTAACACAGTTAGCAACTACTAGTATGTCCCTGGATTTTTTAATAGTCAACTGATTTCTAGCATTTAATAAATTATTAACAAAATAGATAAGAATGTGCCTGGAGTCAACTTTTCATTATTTGTTGATATTTATCAATTACAAATTAGTTTTCAAAAAACAAAGAAGTAACCAAACAATGTGTTAGTTTTTAACTCAAACACATCAAATATTTTTTTTTTTTAAATCACATCGTTTCCAGCCTTGTCAGCCATAGATACCACAGTATTCAAGTGACTTACCATAAGTACATAACCAAATCTAAATTTAACAATAAAAAAGTTGCACAAGTAACTAGGTCATGCATTCAGCAAAGATACTCAATAGAGATGATTGATCACAAACAATAGGACGTAACAAAAAAACAGTTCGTGTATGGGACGGTGTAAATAGAAATAGCTAAGCATATCAGCACTTACAGTGCTTTAGTGGTATGAACAACACATGCAAATACCAACGCCTTAAACCTAACAATACAGAAAGCATGTGAGGCAAATACCAATCATATATATGCCTAAAATGTCCCACAATATAAGACCTCAGCACCATTGATGTCACAATGCTTCTTAATACCAGTAAATTATTAGTATTATTATTAGACAAGGAGAAACCTTGCTAATGTATCACCAGGTGACAGCTATTATATCCATCACTTCATTTCAGTTTATAAGTTGTTTCTATAAATAGACACAACATGCACTGCATAGTACATATTACTGTTAAACCCTACTTGCCTTATTAGTCGCCATAGAAACATACTAGCCCTATCACAGTTACCATAGAAACATACTGAACATGGTTATATTATATCTCAACAAAATCAATGTATACATAAAATTGACATGTGAATTCTGAATAAATGTTACTTGTTTAATTGCATGGGACTACTTCAATTCTAAAATAATTGCGTAACAAGGACATGTGTATGGCAATAGATGTTTGAAGTCTCACCTTACTGTCTTCGTCCACAACTCTTAAACCATCGGATGACACCCATAGAACAGCTCGCACTTTCTTTTTCTGTAAAGCAAAATGATAGACATGTCACCAATTGTTATTTACTACAATCTACATTAATCTATTAACAGCATTGTACTGCAGACTGATTTAATTTCATGAGACCATGGCAAAAAACACAGACACACTCAAATTGACCTTCACATTATAATGTGGTTATGAGGTCTCTGCAAGTATTGTTACTCTATCGTACAACGCTTTAATAACTCATGCACACAAATTAGCAATATACAATTTAAGGATGTAGTAGAGGTTTTCAGAAAGTAAAATTTCACACTAATTATTTTAATAGAATATTTGTTTTAAACTACATCAATCTATATATTTTATGAAAGCTCACAATTCACACTAATTAAAAATCAATGTTTTAGTTAGTGGCAACCTTCATGTGGTCATGTGACTGCTAAGTAAATTAATGTTTTATTGAAGATTCAAAATCAGGGATGAGAATGAGAATTTTAAATTAGTAGCCGGGGTCCAAGCTGACATTGTTAACGTCTTCCGAGTCTACGTCCAGGCCATTGGTTCTGCTGGGCAACAGGGCAGCTCACTCAGAGCAAACCCAGCCAATCATGTTAATCGTTACATATTACTTTGAACACTTGGAAACCACTTCGGATTTTACGATTGCACTGAAAAGAGTCGCGAACATGCCGCATTAGAGACACCGCGAGTTGTCTCCCTTCGACCATACACTGACTGAGACTTCTTGCAGCCCACAACAATGACCCTACAGCGTGTTTACTTCCGGTGAATAAACAAGATTTGTATTCTTACCCCCCTCCCCCAAAAAAATTTTCTCCTCGGATTTAGATGTTTCAGAAAATCGACCCCTGGGGCTTAGAAATCCGCGGAATTCCGCGGAAAATTCTCATCCCTTCAAATTAGTACAGTTAAGAATGCATAATTTTAACATGACATTGTTCATATTTACAATCTCTGAAAAAGTTAAGAATTCTAATGAGTGCCAGCTGAGTAGTACTTATTTGATTAATCATTTTGATGTCAGAATTAAAACAAGTACCGGTATATACACTAATTTGCATATCAATAGATGAAAAGTGGATATTGCTGCATGGAACTTTTAAATGTTGCACCAAATTAATTTAAATAAGGTATAATTTTGAATGCAGAAAAAAAGTCACAAAATGACCTTACATATTTTGTAGTGCTAAAGTAGTAAGTAAACTTTACAATTGTATTGTTGACAAAACATAGTTAAAAGCATTTTTCGGTCAGCCAATTTTAATCTAATCTGATCTGATAAACAAAATGATGTGCATCAAAGTTCTATTATGTTCAATGTATTACCATGTTTGAACAAAATCCATTCGAACACAACCAAGATCCACTTGATTTAGATGAATTCTTATATGCATATGTGTAACATGATGTACATGTACATGGAAAGTTTGAACATAATCAGTCAAGGCAAGTCAAAGATATGGCTTTAGTACAGTATTCATTGAAACAAAATGGCCACCAATTTTGAATCTGATCTGAAAAACAAAATCATGTACATCAAGGCCCCATAATGGTCAGTGTATGTACAGACGTTTTTACTGTGAACCACAAGTAAACCTCACCTGTGCTGGTGCAAGATTCATTTGCATGCAATTAGCATATAGGATAAGATCACCAGGCATATTACCTCTTGTTTTGTCATTTGGTATCACAATGGTTATTACAACCATGGAGGTAGAAAAGAGAAGGAGTGAGGACGCTATTGTTTCTGCTGGTTTCATGATGCTTTGGATTTGTTTACTCAGTACACATTGTAATTAGTTTGCAAACACGCTGTACAATGTCACAGTTAATCGGCTTACGTGTTTCGGCTGTATTCGGAAGCTTCACGAAGATTCTCAACGCACTGCGCATGCCCAAACAGATAACAATAATACAAAATGCAGCGAAAGACGTACGCTGAGTGTACTAAACGCCCGAAATCTATTACATCAAAAGGCGCGATTTTCGACATCTGCACAGTTCTGCACACCAATGAAAAATTACTCGTCAAAACATCTTGTTATAATCTTATCATGTATCTTTAAATTTTCACTGCGAAAATTTGCGGGATTTTTCAATCAATGTCCAAAGTTGGACGACTATTGCGATGAAAAATATCAGAAAAGAAGTAATCACACATCTTGGTAGCGCCCGTATGCAGAATTTCCGGTATCTACAAGTGTGAAATTACCTTTGTGATCCGATAAAGGTCGTTGCGCATGCACAATTCTTTTATTTATGGTTTGCGCATTCAATTTTATAGACGATGTTTAAACGGAATTTATTTTTTTCAGTTCTTCTCTCGTTTTCTTGTGTAAATAAGCGGCTATCATCATGTAGATAAAACGACTTCTAAACAAAAACAATAAGTGGCTTAAACAGACCGAAGACAAAAGATATTTATAAGATTAACATGGGCTTAAATAGCGTCCCCACTCCTTCTCTTTTCTACCTCCATGTTACAACGTACTATAAGCACTGTGTCAAGCAAGAAATACATTGAAAGATATAGATTACTTACATCCCTGAGTTTTCGTACAGCGTCTTCACATATGGGCATACCCCTTGATTCATTGACTTCAACACTACCTAAATACTGTAAGAAAAAATAAATGTGTTTTCAGACATTGAGCAGCAAGACAATTAATGAACCATTCCTGAATTAAATCATATGAAACGCACTTAAGATCTATAAACGTTGATGCAATGACAGATAGGAAGAGTTTAAGAGTGGTGAATTTACTAATACATTACCAGGTAGGTCATAACAAATCTAACATAATTTCTTTCTTTATTTAACATTGGGTTCCATTGGGAATTTTCGTCACTTTGAAAACAATTTTTAAACAATTGTGCAAATACGTAAGAAGCCTGGTACATAAAGGGCTACACAGCAATATGAAAGAAATTATCACTAAGTTAAATGAATTGCCGAAAAATAAACAAGAGGAACACTTTTCTTGGACTAATAACAAAGCTGGTCAGTCCTTTCCCAGCAATAATCACATAATAATATCACTTCCACTTCATTGTATGTTCAATCTTTTGTCACATACACTGTAAGTACCCCATCCGTGATGAA